AATGCCGGTGCTCCACAATGAGCCGCCGCTTTAAAGAGGCCTAATGATGAAGGAAACCTCATTTTGGAACGTCTCTGATTCACAGATTTTATTTGCTCTCCAAACTGGTCATTTGACCGTATTCTTTCTTCGTTCTACGGGCACAAAACTGTTGAATTTTGAATACTGACCGGTTCATATAATTTTCATGCGCACACACATGCCGTTCGATATGACCGTCAGATTTTCTTGTCAGTAACGCAACCAAGAAAGAAATCTGATCGTCTACATTGACAGTAAACTGTACAAACGTATGAGTAGCGATGATATTAAACTGCTCGTTACACAATGTGATTGTACAACAGGGAATGCCGTCAAAATATTAATTACAATTGAGAGAACTGTCGGTGGTGTTGTTTAGATATAATTATGAAGCAATCCACCAGAGTGAGACTTAGAAGAGACCTCATTACTATATCCTCTTTCTGTCGAATCTTAACTGAAAAGTGATGAATTATATCAGCAAAAGTTCTCACAGATGCTCATTCGGTATTCCCACATTGATGTCGTAGTCACAAACTTCACAGGTTATATGAGTGACACGTTTACGAGAGGTGACGTTACATCACATATCATCTTCACATTTCTGCTAGCATTCCCTACGAAAAGCGTGCCTGTGAGACTGCATATACAAACTTTTTCGGTTCTGGTTCTAGAATTTTTGTCAGTCATTCGATGACAGATTGTCAAGGGAAATTATTCACTGGCACGATGAGGTGTACATGTACTCCAGCCCTATGAATCGCCAATAATCCTTATACACCTCGGATAAGTGCTGCTTTGAGTCTGAGCTACTGGCATACATTTGTAGCTTCTCAACCATCTAGCTAGCTAGCTAGCTTGTATAAAATTGAAGTAATTTTCTGCAAGTAATAATGTGTTTTTCACTTGGTCTTCACCCTTTATGATAATGAAAACACACAAAGTACGAACATGTAATAACAAATTGTCGTGTTTACCAACAAATCTTTGAAGACATGCTCTGTGCCGTTGAATCAAAGCGTGATATATGAGACTGGTTATAGAACTTCAGTGTTGCTCATACGTCAGTACAGTTTACTGTAATGGTATAAAGTTACATAAAATAGATTTTTCTGAATTCAATTCGACGGTGCAGCATCTTCTAAACAAAACTATCTGAACTTCCATATTCTATCTTAAAAATTTAATAGAGATTCTATATCATTTTTTGGCTGATTATCACTTCAGAANTATCACTTCAGAAATCTACAAAGAGTTGTTTATCACTCTGCTTCAAGTGAAACTTGTGTATTTTGACACTGTACTTTCGAGCTCACAATTAAGTTACTGGAGCTTATCGTTGGTCATTTTTTTCCTACCGTTTGTTTAATAAATGTCTATTCTACATATTTAGACATGATAACTTCACTTTTCTCTTGTGTCCTCTTCCAAACTGGAACGAACACCTTCATATTCGTTATTTGTTTGCATCACAAACTTTGGAGTGAGGAACGGTGGACAAGTTTAACTCCCTACTGACAAAGACCCACTGTTCGACTGTGATAAGAAGCGGTCTAAACTCTAAGGCATAAGGTTTGATAATTACACAGGTCCCTTGTAGAGCAAATAAATGACACTGTGCCGAAATCCAGTGAAACTATCGATTTCTTACCGTTAGGACTCAAAGTACCAAAAGCAAACACCAGGGCTGCTAGCACCAATTAGTCGTTTGACGGTGAAAGCACTGATTACCAAGAGAACTTTCTAGTTCACATGAGTCACAGATTCAGGCAGACGTCTAAATCTGTCAGTGTACTCCAAATCACATGCCTTTCCTCATGCTAAATACTTAACACTAACTACTTGGAATAGTTCAGAGTGGGACAGCTATAGAGAGGGGAGAAATATGACACCATTTTCAATTTAAAAAGAAATAGGACAATAGTAACCACATAAAGCTTCATGGTCAATAGAGACTTCGACCGTTTATCACGTGTTTGAGGGGTGACATCATGTTCATTGACAAAAGGTGATATTTAGGTTGATATAGAACGACATTAAAGAGGCTGCTGTTTTTTCAGTTCTATCATTAGGTTGTATATATATATATATATGTATATAATAAATGCTAACTATTGGTATACGAATACAGAACTTTCTAAGTACGAGTCTGATGAGGTAAGCAAACAAGCATAGCAAAAGCAAGACAACGAGTACCACGTAACAGTGGTCGCACACTTACTCAAAAACTGAACCGAATGACTACAGTGTTTGGAGCAAACGCTATGCATGTTACCGGGTAAATTTTTTCAGTGTAAGATTTTGGTCGAGGCATATACTGGTTGAAGGAAAACCAAGTGTATTTAGGCTTTTCCCGGAAAGCAGATATGAAAATACTCACCATTTGACTTAGTCAATTGGGTTTTTGCTTGGAAACCATACACCAGCTTAGGAAACAGTTTTACAATTCTTAATTAAACAGCTGAATTACATCTATAACTCATCTTATTTGGTATCAGTACGGTAGGTTTTGGGTGTTTTGGGTTGTAACAAATCACTCTCCCTTTGCATTTATCTAAATTCTCCTATACGACCGAGCGTCTCAAATAATCCCTGATGAGAAAGCTCTGACTTCTGATGGCGGAAGTGTTTGCTTACTAACGTTAGAGAACAAAAAGCTCACGTCTGCGGCTATAATCGATTTGATGAACTACTGACAATNAATTTACCCAGGGGACCAACAAGCCTGATTGTGAATCAATCAAAACGGAGCGCACTAACCACACAGACATACCATCCTGGGTGCAGCAGAAATGACTGGCTCAACAGATCATGCGAGTGTAATCAGGTACCTTGGATGGTTGACCCCGTTCAGAGGGGGTATAATCCGACGAACTAAACACCGGTCCCCTAATAGATTTTAGTGTTCAGAACAAGGCTCCGCTGCCTTTCAGATCAGATTTTTGCTAGCCGGAGGCTCGAGTTGTAAGTTCCCCAAGAAAACTCCCCTTCTTTGACCTGAGAAACCTAGAGGTATCTTGCACACGAGTAAATAATGGATTCGTTTCTCTGTTGTATAGATTATTCTAACTTGATCTGTTTGGCATACACTCCAAACTCAGACATATTTGAAGTATAATAGTAATATAAAGTGTCAATATCTTAGGACTTTAATAGTCGCCTAAGATCTCTTTTATTGTTGTTAATCGACGTACGGCAACCAAATTCGCTACAAAGAAGTGTGAGGTTGTATAAAATGAACCAAAGCTGATTAGCTAATATGTTCACACTATCATGCAGACAAAAGTTATATCTTTTAATCACACCCGTCAGTCCTAATCGACCTCTCAATCCTTGCCGAAAAATCAATAGAAACTTAGTGTTTGAGATCTAAGTTCGTTTTTAATAAGACCCTGAGAATGCCATTTAAAGATGGCAAATGCTAAAAGTTAATCAATACCATGAAGTTGTTTTTACATCAAAAATACCCATTTATCACCAAAATGCCTAAAAAATTACTGATAATTAGCCTACAGAATGACAATAAAGCAGAAATAGTTCTCACGAGGAATGACACTGCATATTATCAAAAAAGAAACCCACTTAATGTGAAGTGAGTCTGACATTTATCATTCCGCTAGACCTATTAAGTTTTCAAATTGGAATTTTACTTTAATCCATTTTAGGGAACCGAAAGTTTTTTTTACTTCCCTGTGCAAATAAGAAAATAGTCAATAGTCCTATGGTAATCAAAACAACTTCTGAGTTGACTTAAAACTCCTCTTTACTGCTCAATAACTTACTTGAATATTCCGATGAGCTGCAAGGTAAACACTCGTTAGAATGGGCAGCAGAATATGTGTTTTCCTGGCATACTTTACAACTGGATGACCCAGGATATGGATTGTAAGTTCCCGCCGGGCAATCCGTACAACGCCAAATTGGTGGTGTTCCAGTAATACGTATACGAGCAATTTTGATCAAGGAATCCGGAAAACCGAACAGTGATTGGAACGGATTGTTCTCCGTGAACAAATACCATTGGAGAACATTAGTCCCTTTCGGGATCTTTACGCTCACGTTCAAATAAACATGGTGACCAGTGTGCTGTAGGAGGAAACTGGTTCCAGGAACTTGTGAACAGTGAGTATTTCTTATCTGGAAATAATGAGCAGAAAAAAGATTTTATTCACCGATTCTTTAAGCACATTTTTCAGTCATTTTTATTTAATGGGTAATTATGACATTGGCAAAAAATAAACACTGCATACTCAAGTTTTAAAAAGGTTTAAGCGAAAGACTTACTGTGAAAAATGCCATTGTGTTGTAATCTTCAATGTTATAAGTGAATGAAACTTCACCACTCTTGAGATTATTAAGGTGCATAGAAAGTGTAACCGCGCAACCAACAGCCGCCTTCCCCAATAAAAAGTCACCTTTTGGAACCCACGTGCTTCTGTAGACAGAATAAATGGAGACAAAAGTACAGATTTAGTCAGCCCAACAAAGTTCGAAACTATAAATAAAACACTGAATTGCAGAGCTCCATTTCATTTGGTTTGTAGAAGACAGTAGGATCATCTCTATGAGTCAATTCACTAATGTATCGGGTGACTTTTAATATTTTTGCTGATATAAATTTAGGCCTTGTGTCACATCCGATTCAATTGTTTCTCTAGTCCTAATTCAAAAAGTCATCGTTCTCCTCATCAATCACCTTTTCTGGTAGTGCATTAGATAGGTTGGTTGATCTCCGCGATAGAATGGCGGTATCCACATAGATCGTATATTTTTAGTCTTTCTGGGGGATCATCCTCCTGAAAAATGGAGCCGATTACCCCACATAGTACCTTTTGTGTATGTAATGATTCATCTTCCACTGTACAATTGATCTCCGAAAAGATTTTTGGGGTAAATAGCTTGCCTTTGCAGAGGATTCCAAACAAGTCAAACAAACTTGTGGTAGAAAACTGAAACCCTTCTCGGTTTGACTAGTTCCCTGGTGATGCAAGGAGATTTCGAGTTAATACTGAAACCGTATACCAGGCTGCCTGCAGAATTTAACAGCTGCTTTAGTTTTCACCTATTGTCAGTGGTGGCCCGGTGGTAACGTCACCAAACTATTAAACCTGGGGATGTGTTCGAATCTCACCACCACCGCCTGACTTTCCCATTGTGTTGAATGGCAGCCCTTTGGTTGGCCACTTCCCTATCCCTGAAAGTTGTATATTCAATAAAAGAAAGTAAATGATAATATCAGATATTATCATTTACTTTACATTTTATTTTACTTTACTTTACATTTACATTTATTCGGCAACATGTTACAGCAGTAACATGTTGCCGATATTTTCAGATTTGAGCTGCATTCCTGCCAGCAAAATTACTCACAGCTGTGAGCACTGTAGAGTGCATCTAGTGTGCTTCAAGAGTGCGAAAATGTGACACGTTTTTTTGCACTTTTACCCGAACTGAACGAGCGACCTTTTCGAACGGCATTTTTTTAAAACACTTAACGACCAAATACTACATTAAGAAATAAACTAACCGAACCTTACATGGTGCATGTATATATATATATGTGGTGATGGGGCTTACATGGGCACCCTGCCCTCTGCCCTCAATCTTGAAGAATGAATATCATGAGTACACTCACTGATTACATTTATCGTCGCGTTTCAAGTCATATGTCTTATCGACAGAAAATTCTTGAGGTATGGATATCCATTTGACATATTCTATCGTGTCACCAGTAGAGAATGTTCCTTCAGGACAACTGACGCACTCCTGTGTTTCCGCATTCAGGTAAGTACCACCAGGACAAGCGATTTCTAAAAATAATAAAATTTCATGTTCGTGCTCACCACAGTTTTCAATTTTCTTGGGAATACTTGAATTTGTGAGACTACAAATAGTTTTTTCATCAGGAACTTTAAACACCCATCTTCTTCCGTTAGCATCACACGAAGAGGATTCGTAGTGCAATTGGGACTGAATATTGTGGCTTAAAACAATAAAAGTTTCAAACCTCTAGGCAATATTCCGCATAAGAATAGAATATGAATGTTTGGAGTACTACAAATATGCAAGAGTAATGCAACATCCCTCAATACATAATCCCGCTATTGTAATGTGGTTATAGAAAAGATAAATAATAGAATAGTTAAACAAAAGTAAATGAAATTACTGAGTCCGACACCATGGTACCCAATTCATCTAAAAGAATAAAATTTCGGCTTAATCAAATTCAATTCAACCTTAAAGAATCAAGCAATCGACTTTCAGTCAAAACCTTGTGTTCCACGGGGATTCAAGGGATTGACCGGCTTGGGAACCGAAGTTTTCGAGTAGCCCGGGTTCTGGTGGCAGGTATACTTCTCTGTGACGAATCGATGTCCTCGGTGTAGTTTGCTGTTACTCGGTATCCGATTGTGTCTGAAACGAGAAACAGTTAGGAGTGTTAATGTTCAACTGTGTTTGCCTGCGCTAGTGTAGTGACTCCATTTCGTCACTCGTGTTTTACGTCACGTTTTTTTTGTTTTACTGAACGTTGACGCGCGTTAGACCCACACACTTCCACCTTGGTCGTTCAACGCACCGTGCGACGCCACTGTGTTTCACATTCAAATACAGT